GCTGCGCTGAAAGGTAAGTTTAAACTGCCACAGGGCCCTGAACACAGACCATGACTTATTCATGTGCTTGTCCCAAAGTTCAGAAGACATTTTAGTGCATTCCATTTTTATTATGCAGTGTATTTACTGCATTAATAATAATACTTATAATATAATTTTAACAGTGTCCCTCTCTTTGTTGACCTTTAAAAGCATTCCACTGTATGTTGTGCCAACTCCTGTAATAAATAAGGCTGTTGACTTTACTTTGTACTGTTTTACATGATATATAAATGTATAAAATAGTACATCTATTTTATTGTAAATATCTATCTAAGAAAAACTACATTCTTTAATAGCCCAGTAACAGTGGGTTATAATTCCCGTACAGTGTTTTCAGTCGAACTAAAAAACCATTCACCCTTCCATCCCCTCTCAAGCCGTATGACTGGATTAATCGTAAAATAAAATGAAAAATCAAACAATTAAATATACATGTTTTCTTCTTAGATAAAGTTCTGCTTCTGCAAAGGCGACCAAGGCATTGTAAAGGTTAGATTTTTTCCTTTAACGTGACTATAAGAGTCTGCATACTGAGCACACGGTGGCTTCAACCTTCAATTTTTTCCACTCAAAGTGAATAGTTCTTGCCCTCCATGCAGAATTATTTTTTTAATAATGTATGTTGTGGCAGCTATGTACATTCAGCGAAGAGTGAATAGGACTGATTGTGTTTGTTTAACACTGAACCATCACCATATTAGCTCATATATATCTTGCTTGAGAGCACATGAAATGACTCATAGTCAGCGACTGTCAGGGCTACACTTAAGATATCATCAACAAGAATTTCCACATACTCCAAGGAGTAAGGCAAAGAGGGTTCTCATTTGTTTTTCTAAAGCAACCTGACACTCATTCAGTTGTGCGGAATTACAAAATAAAAGAAGAGCAACACTGAGGCTTGAAAACATGAACCTGTTACTTGAAGTTTGCCAGCATATGTGCTTAGATGATATTTAGCGCAATTAAATGATCATATTCTCGCCGTAATTACAACTATATAATTAAATATTCCACAGCACACATGAGAATGCACATAATTAAAACACTCGCATGCAACAACAGACTATATCTTTGCCGCATTGTTATGTCTGCTGTTCAGACAGATGAGACCCACAGCCATTCCCCAACACCTTCACCTGTAACATCCTTCTGACAACCCAAAGAAGCAGCTGCCCGCTTTATAGTCAGGGACCCATAATGCACTGGGAGCCCCTGTGCATGCCTGGTGTTGGGATTTAATTGGATATTAGTATCCAGCAGTGTCTGAATTAATCAAATCATTTCCATCCATTAATTTAGTGGAGGAACATACAATTAAAGCCTTATTAGTGTGCTCTCAGGAGTATGCCTTTTCATCCCTCTGCAGAACATTGAGAGTTGGCCAGAGTCCAGTGTAAAGCATTCTCCCTGTTTGAATCTGGTGCTTCCTCGTGATGGGCAGTCTGTCCATCTACACAAACTGGCTGCGAGCTTAAAGCAGTGAAAATGCCCAGCCATAAGAAGGTGCTACCTTTCCCATGTCTATAGCAAAGACTAAAACAGGAGCTTGTCTACATTTTTAAAAAGCACTGTTGGCTTCTATTTTTCTTTACTTCTTGAAATTACAAGGTTAAAGTACTGACAAGTTTTAGAGAAACTCTATTTGGTGAAACATTACTGTGAAAACCAACACAAAAATGCCCTAAATAGGGTGAAAAGAGATTTGGAGATTTAAGCAGTGGCATAATCCAGAGCCTTAATGTAGGTCATTTTATGACAATTTCTATATTTATATATTTTATAACCTGTAGTGTACTGCCTTTTAAATATTCTTCCTGAAAATAAATACAGAAATTAAACTTTTTTTTAAGGATAGAAACATTTAAGAGATAAATTCTCAGCATCCAAACCTCTAATAACACAGAGTGCTCCATTGTGGCTACCTAGTTTGGCTCAAAATTAAGTTTAAACTAAACGTCACAAAAAAAAAAAAAAAACATCAACTCCAGGACTCCTTTTTCTCCCTTCCTCCTCTCTTGTGAATCTAAGTTGAAACGTTTTGCACAAAGTAATCCAGACTGCTCAGATGAGCAGCCATTTTTAATTAAAACCATTTACAGAGGAAACCAAAGTGAGAAAAAAAGAGCCAAGGGATTTAACACTCTGTCATCCAAGGCTTCAGCGGATCAAAGAGTTTTAGTTGTGCTTTTTAATGGTTACGTAACATTTTTGCCTATGAAATATTGGGCCTGGGCAGCATCTAGTCAGTCCAACGCTGGACAGCACCACAAAAATTTTCAGCACTGCACTTTCACATTTCAGGCAGGATACAATAAGGGTATGTTTATGCCTAAGTATAGCTGTCAATCAATACAATACTAGTGGTGTAACAGGACACTGGAAGGAGGAAGCAACTTCTGAAAAAAGGTTTGACATTTCTCTCTATTTATACAGTATATTTGTGTATATGTATGCATTATATGTATGCATGTATGTATGTATATTTGTGCTCGTGTCTGTCTGCTTCCCTGCCTGCCTGGCTGCCTGCCATGTGGCCCACCTCTTACTGTCATCCTGTCTGACATTAGGGCTAAGCTGGATCTCATTAGGACCAAGGTGGCAGTGATCCCGTCAACATCGCTTTGGCTCCTGCCATATGGGTCGCCTCCAAGGTAACGGGCTGTATCAGTCTCCTCAGAGCTGCAAGCCTTGTTATAGCACATGCACAAACACACAGACGGAGTATCTGCTCTCTAGACAAGTGTGCACTGTCCATATAAAGCTGAATAAACACGTCAAACAGAGAACACAAAAAAATGATAAGATAATCAGGTCAAATCTATCGGTGAGATGCAGTATAAATAAATACAGGCACAGACACACATACGTAAAAGCCGACACACAGTGCAGTGTGCTTACTATGCATGTTTGGCCGAGGAAATACAAAAATCACACAAGAATCTGATGCAGTTCTGTATGAGCTCCGACTCCCTGAGAATTCATCCGGCTATCCGAAAAACCAAATCTTACTTGTTATTAAGGCGGCAACTAACAATTATTTTAATTGTTGATTCGTCTGTGAACTATTTCCTTGATTAATTGATCAGTTGTTTGGTCAATAAAATGTCGGAAAATGGCGAAAACTGTCAATATTGTCTTCTAAAGTCCAAGATGATGTTTAAAACTTGAAGATATTCAGTTTACTGTGACAGAGAAGTAAAGAAATCAGAAAATATTAAAGTTAAGAATCCTTTTGCCCTTAAAAAAATCCTCATACTGATTAATCGGTTATCAAATTAGTGGGCAATTAATTTTATAGTTGAAAACTAATTGATGAAGCAATAATTGTTGCAGCTCTGCTAGTTTTTTTTGTTGTTTTTAAAAAAAATATGCATACACATTTAATATACAAGCCTGACATTAAAAAGTTTTTTTTAGCTCTTATTGAACAATAGTTTAAAAAAAACCAAAAACACTTTTAACCTATATTTGAAACAACAAGCCATCAGAATCACTAGCAATGTACACTGCTTTTATAAGCTCCAGTAATTTAATTTGTTGGTGATGACCTAAGTAAATATGCAGTGATCAAAGACTGTAATAAACAGACTTTTTCCTAATCCCTTCCTCCAAACAGTCTGAATGACAGCGACTGAGCTAAAGAAAATAAAAATAGACAATTGGAAATGGCAGAGCAAACAACGAAAGCTGCAAAGTCGGTTACTGCAAATTCAATCTGGAAAACTTTTGATCTAATAAATGTCCACTTTAGGATTCTGTGCAACATCACAGTCCAAACTCAGTTTAGAGTTGTCATGGTCAAGCCTCAGTCAAACGTAGCAGAATAATGTACATGAAAATCCCAGCAGAAGCTCAGATATGGCTCTGTAGTTCTCTCACAGCAAGCGTCTGACTTTTATCAAAACCCGTGCAAGTCAGCAGGAAGTCTTTTATGATTTTGTTTCGCGCTTCTTTGCTCTATCTCATAAAAACTGTAAATTTATGACATCCTGTGTACAAATATATGATAGCAATAGGCATTTTATCATTCACTATTATTTAGTGTTATATTAAATGCAAATTCCCCATATACAGGACCGCATACAATTCTTTGATTTACTGTAAATAAACAGCAGCACCTGTCACTGATAGTGTGTATTTTCAATAGTCGTACTGTGTGTTTTATGATCTAGTTTATAGCTTTGAAATTCACTGTTATTAATCATGCTGATAATTTACTTCCTTCACATGTAACTAGGACACCAGAATACATTGGAAGCACAGCAACTGTGTCAAAGTTCCACTTTACCAGATTGGCGGCTATTATAGATTTTTTTCCCTCTGGCCTGTTTGTTTAGTTTCTGCCCCCACTCTCACAAAATCAACTGTTTATTTCATCAGTTTGGCAACAAAAGCATGTGATCAATCATTCATAATTTATGATGCTGCCAATGTCCTAGGGCCCATAAAAACAGATATTTGCATTACACAAGGTCTTAGCTAGACCTCCCGACAACAGACCAATAAATTTTGTTGTTGTACATACTCACTGGCCCCTGATAAGAGGTAAACTTTGCCTCTGTGTTACTGTAGAACTCTGGGCAGCACTAACAGTGATGATGTTGTGATCACATGCTACTATAACAATGACCTGGACCTCGTCCTTTAATTCCTGTTCCCCCAGCCAGCATCCCGCTGCCTTTCCCAAGCCCTACTGTTGTTATTATTTTGCATTTCTCAAGGCAAACGCCCTAAATCCCTTGTGCAATATGGGTCTGACTGTAACAAACTGGCTTTCCATCTATGGGACCCTCTAGAGAGACGTGCTATTATACAGATGCGCTGAAGAAAATAAAACATTATTTGAGAAAAATGAAAACTGCTGCCTTCTAAAGCTAAACTTGAATATTTATCGGAGTTTTACACTGAACAGACACGCTGCAGACACTCCCTAGAGACATCATCATCCTCCTTACCTTGACATGCTGTCTGTGATGCAGTTCTGACCCGGGTATCCTTCACCTCTGGCTGACAGTGACCCTTGTGACATGCCGGGCCGAGATTTCCACGACTCCATTAACGCCGATACGGGTGAAATTAGATTCAACAAAGGGTTGGACTGGTCCCTCACATCATGCCGCGTGAAAGACATTGTTCCTTGCGCTCCAATCTGGTAATGGAATGAGTGTCCACCGGAATTAACTCCAACAATGGCGGATGTGGACATGCTGTTATTCTCTTGGTAATAGCTGCCATCAGTGGTCTCCTGCTTAACCCCTTTCGACAGGACATTGTTGGAGAACACATCGGGCTCATAGTTCCCATTCATGGAGGAGACAGGGGGTCCTAAGATACCAGAAAGACTGTATTCATCAATGTTATTCCTCAGGGACAGATAAGTGGTCTCAGACGCAGGGAAGAGACCGAGAGATGGTGACTGCTCACCATAGGGCTGTTGATTCATACATCCCTCACTTTTGTTTGGCTCACTCTTAATCTGTGTGATAAAGGGTGTGCTACTCGCACTACATTTGGAGCTGCCTAAGCACATGCTCCTGAAGTCAGTTCCAGGCTCGTTCTTAATGTACTTAACCATGCCCATCTGGTCTAAGCCGACGTTGAACACCTCGCCGTCCACCATCTCTACTTTAGGGAACTCAAAGTTCTTGAAGTCTGTGTCTCTGGTCAGCCCTGCTGCCTCTGGGCTGTTGGTGTCATTCTGCACCAAACCCAGTCCACCAGCAGGACTAGACACCGGGAACCCACCAGAGGAAGGATTCTGTGGGCTGCTGACCGCCATAGTGCCCCCTGTGGCCGGACTGGAGATGGAGGGCCGGACTGTGTTGCAGTTGTTGGCGGTGCCGGTGCAGGTACCACCTGTGGGGCTGGAGACAGACGACCTAATGTTACATGTGGTGCTGCAGGACGGAGGGGATCTCACACTACTCATGCTCTGAGGGCTGGACATGGGGGACCTCATGACATTGAGTGGGCTGGTGAGCGGCGGTGAGCCCACTGTGCTGGACTCCACAGGGCTACATGTGACTGAATTCCTGCGCTTGATGTTGGCTAGAGTTGCAGCACACGAAGTCTGGCTGACAGGACTACTGACGGACGAGCAGAGTGGTCCAAAGCACGTGGGAGGACTGGTGGTAGACGACACCATATTGTTGCTGCCTCCGGGGCTGGAAATGGAGCTGGAGGTCTGGGGACTGCAGGACAGAGAGGAGGCCAGCATGGATGCTGAGCTAACTGGAGTCCCGGCGGTGCATTCTCTAGGAGTGGTGCTCGGCTGCTGGAAACCAAATGGCTTTAACTTGGGGCTCTTTGTGGGGCCACACTGGTTCTCCTCCAGAGGCCGTCCACATACTGGATACAGCTTCCCGGGGCTGGTGCTGCCTCCATGCTGGCTAAAAGCAAAGTCTGCCTCCCTGGCAGCATTCATGTACAGACCCATAGACTCAGCCACAGTCTTGGAAAGCTCCTTGGAGTCCATTTCCTGCTTATGACCATGGAGAGTGTTGTTGAAGTGTGGGAGAACAAATGGCTGGTTCTGGCTGAGCCGAAGTGTTGGCTGCTCCTGCTTCTTTGTATTGTTGTCTTTGCAGTCGGTGGCCGGGCTTCCAGCAGGGCAGCTGACATTGACTATGTCCATCAGGATATCACTGTTAGTCAGACTCGAATCCTCTGTACTGCAGCAGTACTCCATCGTGCTGGGGACCTGAGACCATCTGTTCTCTGTGTCACTTCCATCAAAGAAACTTTGGTATCTTTTGGTCTCCATTGCTGGCGCATTGATTCACCTGGTAAATATGGAAAGAAGAAAAAAAAACTGTTTGAATTTATTACAGTCCACCTTTACACAAGGAATTGCTTGAATAAAAATAGCTGATGCATTTTAGGACATTTGCTTTCAGGCAGAGACCACGTTCGACTAATAATTATGTTTTCAGGAATATGTTAATCAAGCTCAAATGAAATATAGTCTTTTGATTATTGACAGACACCAAAGGAGCAAATTCCACTTTCGCTGAAACCTAAACATGGAAAAATGAAGTGCAGCAAATGGGAAATATTCAATTAAAAAAAAAAACATAATGTATTCATAGATTTTCATATTATAATGGATTACACTTTAAGAAGACAAAGCTTACATCATGCTGTGCTAACACTATGTTAATGTTAAAAAAAAAAAAAAAAAGTCCAGAGAAAATCTGCACATGATTTCCTCTCTCACAGATAAAGCTCCTTATCGCTGCACTACAGGGGATGTACAGTATGATAAGTTAAAGAAATCTGCATCTCAAGGGTTAACTTATCTACGTGACGTCGCCTGGGCTTTTTGTTTTAAACGCCCTCCTCTGCTGCGCTTCTATTGGACAGCAGGAGGTCCAGCAGCCCCGTCAGGACACTCGCTGATTGGTCGCACAGCTGTCACTCAATAGTTATTGCTCTTGCAGCCACAACATAGCTGCGACACAACTTGAAATGTTGTTTTAGGCGCCGAAGCAGGTTTGTCATGTGCAAAAGCAGAAAAAATACAGAAAAAGAGTCAAACATTTAACACGAGAGACTCCAAAAATTAAGGCATCGCTTTAGGTGATGTGTCAATATTTATTTTGCATGCTACGCTGCACTCCTTGGAGGGCTCGCAGCTCCCCAGCAGCCAACATATAGGCTGCGAGTTAAAGTTACTCAGTTCGCCTGCAAAATATTCCGCATGCACATGTGCACACACTTGAATGTGAAAATGAAAATAAAAGCAGCCTGATAATTCGTCCCCTGTACTCCTGCCGCTGTTGCCCCAGTCTCTGCAGGACGTGCAACTCTCTGCATATTTCTCCATTTTGCGGGTGCGCAGAATAAAAAATTGACGATTTTCTTGCTCTGCTGAAGGTAATTTACGCAATGTTAAAGTTACATTTGCGGATTTGGGAATGACAGGAAGGATTAAATGCAGCAGGATGAAATTTTTAATTATTTAAATCACATTTTTTTTAAGACTAGAATTTCAGAGCACCACAGTAGATGTGAATCACTTTATACCTCCAGGTGCTGCGCAGAAATATTAAGTCTACTCGTTTTTTGTTTTGGAAAATATTGCGGCTATTTTTGTACGCGTGTAAACTTCTTGGCGAGTTTTATTGTGGAGCAGACACGGTGCTGCTGGTCCCGGGTGAAAGTTATTTGGATTTCTCCTCCACAGCGAACGCGGCGAAGGATGCAAAGTGTTTTTGGCTGATCTGTGAAAGGAGTTTTTCATCCTCTCATTTTTCATCTCAAATATTAAAACTGTACCAGCATCAAACCGTGAGCTCTGTCCGTTTTTTTTTCTCCCCCTTACCTTAATTACGACATTCAGAGTTGTCAGGTGGCTGTGTTGCTGGGCAGCGATAATCCAGAGGACCAAAAAAAGACGCGCAAAAAAAGCAAAGTCAATAAATATCAACAAATGTGTCCCGTCTACTCTTCCCAACACATTGTTGTCAGTTTGACAGCTAGACGCACTGGACGAGAAGTCTACTGCGTATTATCACTAGTAATCCTCAACAGCGAAGCCGCCGCTCCTGACAGGACGAACGACAGCGACGGGTCGGACGACAGCCGCGGATAATCTCACATTATGGCCGTAATTTTGCAGATTAGCGAATCTGGGGCCCCAGATAAAAAGAGTAATAAAAACAAACGAAGGAGTCGGTCGGACTTGCAGTCAGAGCGACGTCATTCTGTGCACATGGACCCTCCTACTGCAACGAGTGCAACACAAACTCCGAGGAGGGGGAGGAGGGGGGGGAGGAGAGGAGAGGAGGAGGAGGGGTGAGGACAGGAGGGAGAGAGAGAGAGAGAGAGAGGAGAGGAAGGAGGGAGGGAAGGAGGGAGGGGCGGAGCGCGCGCAGGTAGACAGAGCCGTCTGGAAATAGGGCACCGCGCTCAGTGCAGCCTTGTTTCACATAAACTCTTAGGAGACGCAGAGAGTCAGCCTGTTTAATTCAAATCAAATATCCTCTGCAAGTTTGTTTCACGCTGCTGCTAAATATCCCTTCCCACAGCCCTTCATATTTTTTCATTCTTTTTTTCCCCCACTTCCAAGCCCCCGATGAACAGGTCTGCCCTTGCACTGTCATGCATTTGACAATTTAGATAAGAGGAGAAAGCTCAGGAGTCTTCCCCCCAACAGCTCCACTTTGCAGTTAACATGGAGCTTTACAAAAAAAAAGAAAAAAAAAAAGCCTGCAAGTCCTGAGAGCAGAGCCATCCTACTGTAAGAGAGGAGTCACCATAACTGCTGCCTCCACTAGGTGGAGCAATATTTCTGTTCTCTACTTAGTGGTCAAGCAGGCCTCCTAATTCAGTCCATGTCAAACTATGACAAAATAAGTTCACACGTTCAGTGAAACAAACTGCAGACTTTGTGATTTTGTTTCCTTTTTCTGTCACTAAGACTGAACACTGTCTACACTCATCAAGTAGAATCATAAACAAGTTGACACTGAAATAACAATTCATAAAAATGTAGTTTCTCGTGGATATTTGTGGATGTCATTCATCACTGATGATGCATCCAGCATCTGCCGACCGTATGTTCACATCTGGTGCTGTGGGTTCATGAAAGTGTAATGCACCAGGAATGGATTTTGTTTTAAATGCAGCAGGATGAAAAGAGATATATACCCACACTTTGCTCAGGAGCTATCAGACACAGTCTACTTGCTATACTGTAACTTAGATTAGATGGGATCAGTATAGCGCACTGATAGTTTCCAATGGTGCGCTCACGACAAAGTACAATGTGCCCATGTTTATCTGTGATACCAACATCAACAAAAATAGTTATGGCTCCATCATTCGGATTAAGTTGTTATTTACATTTTACTGCCCATATCTCGTGGCATTGATGTGAGCAGAGACTTCCAGCAAACATCCAATAATCAGTTTAATCTCTGCAGTTGTCAGTCACATCCTGGAGTGTTTCACGTGGCTGCATAAAAGGGTGCACGTAGGATTTAGGCGGTGAGAGTGGAGCTATATACAGTAGTTTCAATGTTTCTCTTCACTGCTTGTCTGGCTTCTCCGAGCCAGCCTGTAGCTATTACCCAAGCAAGGCAGCAGCAGTTAGATTAGTCAAAGCCAACCAAGCAACACTGCCCGCCTCCCTGATCTGCCTGTTAATCACCCATGAATGGGGACCTGCTTCAGAAAAAAGCAGGAGAATCGAGATATAACCAATGATTCCTACGCCCATTCATGCAGCTCCCACTTGTCTATTGCACATAATGGGTGCCGGTCAAACACATCATGAACAAATCTGATTTAGCTTTGCATCACAGATTTTCTTCCACAGTGACAGAGTCATAAAAATTTGCAGACTGACAGCAGAACAGGGCTGATATGAAATCAGTAATAACTGGCTCCCTCATTGGTAAAAAATTGAACGCAGCTCCCTTGAATCTCTCTGGGCTTTCAACCACTGTCATTTTAGACGAATCAATGATAATCGCACTAGCCTGAAAACACTGTACATACATGAGAGTTAAAAATAGCTGTCTTTGGAGGGGATGGGAGGAGGAAGGGGGGGTCCTTTCAAATGAGTGATTGCTATGATTAGGAGCAGGCTTCCACTCCAGTTTAGACACATAGCAGACAACTCCAGTAGCTGAAAGGGCCGACCGCATAACAGAGAAGTGCAGGCTGCGCCTCATGGGGACAGGTGAATTGGAGCATGTTAACTCTGAAACAAAACACTCGTCAACTCAGCAGAAGACCCTGTCCCCATCGTGTGTGGTAATTACAGAGGTAGTTTTAATCAGAGAAGACGTCCATCCTCCCTCAGCTGCTTATTGTTCCAATTCAACAGAGTTGTTGTTTTTTGTTTTTTTTTCTCGAGGACCATTTACATCTAAAGTGATAATGCTGCAGCTGCATTGAGCTACTCACCTTCCCGTTCCCGCCTTATTCTTCACTACTTTCATCTGATGAGTTAAAACGTTGCTGTTGTCTCCAACCGGTCAGTCAGACAACACAACTTGATGGTTCATTTTGATCACGTAATTACTTGATAACTCAAAGCTGCATTAATTTATTTTTTTTCTAAGATTTTTAAGCATTTAAGTTGAGCTGCAAACTTGTCAGCAAACCTTATCCATTCCTCAGGTACAAGTGTTCCTGGGGAGTCATATCTCTGGCCACCTGATGAATGTAAGTCCTTTCAGCTCTTCTTTGGTCTCCACCAACTCCTGAGGGACACACTCGCCACATTTAGCTGCATTGTGTTTATAAGCTAGCTGTAGACTTCTGTTGTTTGGTGCTGTTCAGATAGCATAAACTGAGCTTTTTCCCTGAAAATCTCCTGATTGTTGTGTCTTGAGAGTGACAAGAGTGAACCAATTGTACCAAAACAAACTCTAAAACCCCTCAAAACCCTGAAAGACACAACAATGCACTGTAGAAGTGAGGGCAACAACAGCTCTATACATAGACATATTAATGTGAAGCATTGTTCCGATAAAATACTGATTATTGTAGCTTAAACAGAATTCTACATCACTGCTTGTTTCAAAAATGTTTCCATGTTCCTGTGCTTCTGCCCTCCGACTGGGTTGGTCAAACATCCAACAGCAGATTGCTGGAGCGAGATCACGACATGTACAGCAGCACTACATTTCATGGCTTTGTAGAAACTTTGAAGCTTTCTGTGCACGCGTCACTGGCTGCTTTTCATTAAAGTTTTCAGTAAATGAGAACTAGTTGCTGAGAAATCTGCTCCCATTCAGTTGGGCTGATGAAGAGTTCAGGACGGACAGTATACACTGACGTATCTGAGTAACCTTGCTGTCGGATGATAAGACTATCTTGCCTGTGAAGGTCAGGCGTGAGAATATAGTCTATTGAATTTTAAATAGGGTTGCTATGGGAACTAGTATGTTTTGACATCTGAACTCTGCTCTCATGGTCAGTGTAGGCAGGTTGTGAAATAAGAGCCTTGGGCTATAGTAAGTGTTAATACAAATGTATATACGTGATTCATTTGAATGAACTCTGCTACATTTATTAACCTTTAACAGTAGTTTACGCAGCCAATGAAAAAAGGAAACAAAACCTCTTTTGCTATCTTCATTTGAAACATAATCAGTATTCTAGTCCTTCATTTCCTTACCCAATTAAATGTTCACACAAGCAACAAATTAGATGACACTTTCTCCTACTAATCTAAGTTAACCGGTTAGTATAATATATGATTTAACAGAAACTGTATTAAGCAGGCGAATAGATGCAAAGTTGAAGAGTTACACAACCAACTTGCAAGATTTTAATTAATTCACCCAGAGGTATAATTACAGATAGAAGTGTGACTGTATCAGTGTGAGAATTTACACTTTGCAACATTTCAAATAAGGGCATATTCAGCTGATTCCCGATCGAGAGAGAAATGTCTTGCTCAGACTGTATCACAGAACGGTAGAGAGACAGATATGTAGATATAGACAGGCTGATAGAAGGCTTTTGTTTTATATTTTTATACATTATTAAGAGAAAGAGTTAGATGCAAAATAAACAGCTAAATCTTCACGTGTGTCTTGTGAGACAGCATAAATAAGACTACCTTTTGACACAGATTGCTGTTCACCTTAAGTTGCCCGCCTGCACGGATGGCACGTATTGTTTAAATCCTGAATGTTATGCATTCAGCCTGCATCGCTACAGAAAGTCTCTCGTACTATGTGTACACCACCTGGGGTTTGTTCATCCTACTTAAGCAACGATGACTGAAAACATGTTGATGATTAAATAACATGTTTACCCTCATTGTGGTCAGAAATACATATTCAGTGGGAACACCGCGTATAGGCTACAGCCTGACTTCAGATCAGATTATTAACATGCAGAAAATTATCACTAAATAATGTGTTGTTCAACAAAACTGTGTCAAGTACATTATGAATTGATATTCCTGGTGCCTTCTTGCAAACATTCTCCCCCTCCTGCAGCATGTAGATGCCAAGGTAGAGTGAGCTTAAAAGCAAATGCTCGTTTTATACATCTGAGCATGTTTTGGTGGTGAAATATCACCACATTTAATTTAGTAGAACTCTTTTATGAATGTGTTGCAGGTGATGGTTATGCATTTCAATGAAATACTGATATGTATAAAACAACTTCTGTCAGTCAACAAATCAAACACCTTGGATCCATGAGAAGTAACCCTAAAGTTGTGTTGGCTCTCTTGGGGTTTGAGTTTGGGCGACTACGCTGAGATGGAATTAAACAGTAAAATCATTGCAGATGCTTCATAATGGTGAATGCACACACCTCTACAGGGGTCTCCGTGTTTTTGTCAGTTGATCAACTTAGAATATATGATGCATTCTTTTGGACAAAACTAACCAAGCTGAAATTTTTCTCAACTCTGTGAACTTTTAAAAACTGCTTTCACGCTAATGCGATAGAAATCAACAAAACCGATAACATACATTTGGAACTAGTGTATATGTTTGGGGCTGCAAGGTGGCTTGGTGGTTAGCACTGTCACCTCGCAGCAAGAAGATCCCCGGTTTGCGTCCCAGTGAGGACGCCTGGGATCTTTCTGTGTTGAGTTTGCATGTTCTCCCCGTGCAGCGTGGGTTCTCTCTGGGTTCTTCAGCTTCCTCCCACACAGTCCAATAACATGTTGAGGTTAATTGGTGATTCTAAATTGTCCGTAGGTGTGAGTGTGCTTGGTTGTCTGTCTC